TGAACCCAGAGGAGAGGTGGTGGGTGCTTTGGGAGGAACGGTTGGTGAAAGGGCTGGAGGGAGGCAGCACGTCTGGCCCTGTAGGAATAGGCCTTGGGTTACCGCTGGTAATCCTGTCTTCCTCTTGTAGGATTAGAGGAGGTCAGAACATGTGGCCTCTTTGCCGTTTTTGCAGATGCCAAGGCACATGAAGATCACCAAGGAGCCAAAGAACAAAGACATTCTCCCAGAGTAAACACAGAGACAAAGCCTTCCCCAGAGCTGGGGCCCTGCATCTGGACTTCTAGCCTCAACTGTGAGAAAATAAATTTCTGTTTCTTAAACCCACTCGCCTGTGGCCCTTCTGTTATAGCAGCACCAGATAATTAAGATAAACTGTGTAACAGATGATTTGAGAACTATAGTTCAAGTAATTTTACGACCAGATATCATCCTCTTTCTTCTCATGATTTTCTAAGCCGACCTGTCTCAGTACTTATAGACATTAAAGAATGGAAGCTCGTCTTCAAATCAGATCTGTTATCCACCAAGGTGCTTATTTCTACAAGGAACACAATTTTGGAAATTTATCAAAAAGAAAAGCAGGATCTCAATTTTTATTTTCAGAACATATAAATATTTACTCTGAACTTTCACTGAAGTGTTAAGCTTCTCTTTTGAAAAGTAACTACTTGTAAACACTTTGTGTGATCTGTCAGCACCATCCCTTCTGCTTGGGTGAACGTATTTCTAAAGCTATTTTTATGTGTGGCAATATAGATGATCTGCAGTCACAGATACTCTAATAATATTAACAGAGGAACACAGGATAAAGTCTGGCTAGGAATTATAACAGGTGTTTTGCCAAAATTAATAATAAAGAGAACTTAAGAGAAAATTAGTGAATGGAAAATTCTAATCTGCATTATTCATTCAAAAACCTAATAAAGCTCCATCTTACACCCATCAGTCACTGAAAAGGAACTAAAAGTGCTCTCTGTTCCCTTTCTTCCCATCCTCAAGCTTTCCTTCCTTTTACAAACATTTGCCAGTAACCCACTACTCTATCATGTGACAGGCACTAGGTGCTAAGGCTACAAAGATGAATAGGGCACAATTTCTGCTAGCAAGGACTTAACAGTCTAACGGAGTAAAGCAGACTTACAAAAAGAAATTATATACATCAATGCCCACTGCAGCATCATTCACCATAGCCAAAAGGTGGAAACAAACCAAGTGTCCATCAACATATGAACAGAAAAACAAAATGTGGTGTAGACATAGACACATAAAAGAGAATAAGATGATTACGATTTAGCCATAAAAAGTAAGTTATAATACATTCTATAACATGGATAAATCTTGAAAACATTATATTAAGTGAAGTAGGTCAAACACAAAAGGACACAGAACATATGATTCCACGTATATGAAATATCTAAAACGAGCTGGTTCACAGAGACAGAAAGTAGATGAGAGGTTACCAGGGGCTAGGGGTAGGAGGGACTAGGGAGTTCCTGTTGAATGGGTAAACAGTCTCTGTTTAGCATGATGAAAAAGTTTTGGAAACAGTGGTGATTAGTTACAATTCTGTGAATGTAATTAATGCCACTGAAATGTAGATTTAAAATGTTTACAATGGAAAAAACGCGTAATAAGGGAGCTCTGGTAGCATAGTGCCTAAGGCACTTGACTGCTAACCAGAAGGCTGGCGGTTCAAACCCACCAGCCACTCCTCGGAAGGAAGGTTGGGCAATCCTACTTCCGTAGTGATACTGCCTCGGAAACCCAAGGAGGGGTCGCTATGAGTCGGGGCCGACTCAACGGCAAATAACAACAACAACAAACATACAAAACAACATACATACTTAAAGAATATATTAATATCCAAGTATTTATGTTAAGCAGAACAGAACAGATGCAAATGAAAAGGATTGAGGACAAAGAGAAAAATAATCTAGAGGAAGCTTTGTACAGACCAATTTGCCATATATTAAATATTATTATTAATTCAACTCTCTGCACCTGAGGCCCAGAGGGAAAAAGGAAGAAAAGATAATCAGTTTTGTCTATCCACACATAAATGTAAACCTATAAATTCACTCATGCAATACTGAAAAGTAACATTCTCTAGCCTTGGATGATTCAACAGATTCATTCTCCATTTATTCCCTACCTTAAATATTCAATTAGACTTGGTATATGACTATACTTTTTGGGATCTAGAAAGATATCTAGTCATAAATAAGTTTTAATTTATTATCTTTTTAAATCACCTTCTACTTTTGTTTTTTCTATTGTTTTATTTCATATAAAGTCAGCCCTAGGCTATGACATATAGAAAAACCATTTATTTTTTGGACAGAAGCCCAACACTCTTAACAAGGTAGATGTGTTATCCTCTCAGAGTAGAAATATATAACTTTTCACAAGTGGTGCTGTTACCACTGACTGAAACGTATATGCAGATTATACACAGTGAGGAATGAGATGTATTTGAACATAGAGGAAGAAGTAGGTAAAATTTTTCTATCCACCCCTTTTATCAGGTAGTATCTTTAGAGGACTTGGTTAAACAGGGAGGGATGTACCTTTCATTTTATTTACCTTTATTTTTCTCTCCAAGCAGCATTTAAAAGGCAAGTTTTACATATACATCTCAGCAACTCAAAAGCAGAATATTTGGAAACTTTTACAACTCAAAAGCAGAACATTTGGAATATTTGACTTTTACAATAGTGAATTAATACAATATTTGTCCCGTGATTGACTTATTTCACTCAGCATAATGTCCTCCAAGTTCATGTGTGTGCAATTATTTATGTATTTAACTGCAGGATCAAATGTTTTTAGTAAAAATTTTTTTATTGTGATTTGGGTGAAAGATTAAAGAGCAAATTCTTTTTCCATACAGCAGTTCATACACATTTTGTCTTATGACATTGACTGCAATTCCCCACAATGTGACAACTCTTTTTCCACTTCTTCCCTGTAGTACCTCTTCCCTGTGTCCTCCTTTCCTATGCATTCCTGCACCCTGAGCTATTTCCCTATGCAAACACTGCCCTTCTTTTCTCCCATAACTGATTCTTCTAAGGAGTATATCTACCTGATGTGATTGTTCAACCTATATGCCTGTCTTTTGTTTGGCTGGAAGCCACAGGAGTGAATTCAGTTCTAGACCTGAAGAGTAACAAGGGGCCATAGTCTTCGGGGTCTCATCAGGCTCTCTACAAGACCAGTAAACCTGGTCTTTTTTTTTTTTTTTTTTAATGATTTTGAATTTTGTTCCACACTGTTCTCCCACTCTATCCAGGATCTTTTACACTGATCCCCCTCTGAGCAGTTGATAGTGGTACCAGCGTGCCATCTAGTTCTTCTGGTCTCATGGTCACATAGGCTTCGGATTGTATAGTCTACTAATGCCATGGACTAATTGCTTCCATGTGTCTTTGGTTTTCTTCATTTTTCTTTGCTCTGGATGAGGAGAGACCCATTGTTGCATCTTAGATGGCCGCTTGCAAGCTTTAAAGACCCCAGTTGCTACTCACTGAAGCAGGAGGTAGAACAATGTGTTTTTGTACAGTATGTTGTGCCAATTGAGCTTGATGTCTCCTGGGACCACAGCTCCGAGCCCACAGGTCCAACTACTCCCTCTCTCAGGCTGTGACCAAGAAGTTATCATAATTTTGCCCCTTGTTAGCTTTATTATTTATTTAGACATTCTTACAGTACATACAAATACGTATGTAGAAACATAGTCTGCCAACCTTACATATGGTCATATCGTGGGTATATTCCCTTTTGCCTAGACATACCTGATCATCCAGTCTGTCTGCCCATCTATTTACTCATAGATTAATGCTATTATTGACAGTGTAGTATTAATGTATGTGAAAAAAAAAAGAGTTTACCTTTGTTGTCTGTACCTCTCTGTGTGTTCCTCTTCCTCACTGTCACTGTGCTGATCACTCATTTTTGGTACACTGCCTTTCCCTTCACTTAAATCAATACTTTTCTCTACCTATCAAGCAGTGTTCCCTCCCCTACTCTCCTACCTCGGTAACCAACCAACAAAGTTTGCTTCCATATATAAACCTTTCCTTGACTTTTTACAATAGTGAATTAATACAATATTTGTCCCGTGATTGACTTATTTCACTCAGCATAATGTCCTCCAAGTTCATTCATGTTATGCAGTATTTCCCAGATTCTACATTGTTGTTTAGTGTTGCACAGTATTCCACTGCGTGTATATACCACAGTTTGGTTATCCATTCTTCTGTTGATGGGCACTTAGGTGGTTTCCATCTCTTTGCTACTGTGAATACTGCATGTGCAATTATTTTAAAAAGAATAAAAAAGGGCACAAAATGATTAATATAAAAACCAACTTACCAATGATGCCACTGTCTCTGCTTTCAAGTGTGGAGGTTGGACTAGTGACAGCCCCATAGCTGCAGTCCTTGGCAGTTGCATTTGTACTGACTGGTGGGAGGGTGGAACAGGGGCTGCTGGCTGGTGGAGAGGCAGTGCTGCTAGTCAGGGTGGAACAGGGACTTATCCTCTGGGTGATTGTTGAGGTCTGAAAAATTGGAACCAAGAATAAATATGATAAACTGATCAGCTGTTACAGTAATACTATCAGAAACACTAAAAGATCATATGGGAAAACATACACCTTGATGAGAAAAAGGAGTAAAAATGTACAGCTTTTACATCTACCAGGTTCTGTTTATTTCTGCTCTGTAGGACATGTACCTCTGGGTTCTACATTTAGGGTAAAACTTAATGAATTTCATATGAGCTGAGACTGTGACCAGTTTTTCTGTCCAGGAATTTTTCAGTAATGTACTTTCATCATTTCCATGCACTAATGAGATAGAAGAATTTTTTTATTAAGCACAAGTTTTTCTTGCTATTTCTCATCAAGATGGCTCGGAACTTTGTCTTATAAATACTTTTCTTTGGATGAAATATAAACACACATATCTTTAGTCCAGGAGAAAAAAAAAAAACAAAATAAAGTTCTTAATGTGAAAAATTATCTCTTTGATACACAGAGAGTTGCCCAGAGACAATAAATGAATGCACGTGAAAACACCTTATTTAAAAGTTTATTTAGTAAAGTAAGTCAACAATATTAATATAAAACTAAATTTCTCCGTAGCAATTTATTACAGACTGATACCACTTTATATCCTGGATAATTCTTACAAAGTTACCTCCTTTTGAAGTTTTTGATGGAAAAGAATGAATAATCACCAGAACAAAGTTGGTGGTAAATATTCTGGTTCCTAATACAAAGACAGTTCATTTTTCTCTAGCTCTTTCTACCCAAATAAATAAATGAAACAATGACTAAAAGGACATATTTCCAAACACTAAAGAAATGTTTAGCATAGTGGCTAAGACACTTGCCTGCTAACCAGACGGCTGACGGTTCAAACCCACCAACCACTCCCCGGAAGGAAGGTTGGGCAATCCTACTTCCGTAGTGATACTGCCTCGGAAACCCAAGGAGGGGTTGCTATGAGTCGGGTTTGACTCCACGGCACATAACAACAACAACAACAAAGAAATGTTTATCCTTTTCAAAACTGTAAGTGATCGGCAACAAAATTGCCTTAAGTACTAATGATAAATTTAACATCTTTAGCTGTCTTTCAACTTCTTTACAGTTGATATTCATACATCTCTGCTAAAATTGAGAATTTACATTTAATAACTTGACTGGAGAATGTGCTGGATCCAGGTTTTTATTTTAATTTAAATGCTGTAAGCAGGCCATAAAAGATAAATTTGACTCAACCAAGAACAGGTGACAGTCTTAAGGTGCCATCTATTATTTGTCTGAAAGGTGGCCTCCAGGAGTGTCTTCAGTTTCAAGTTAGAAAGTTTTTCAGAGCTATAGTCTCAGGGGTTCCTCTAGCCTCTTTAAGAGCAGTCAATCGGGTCCCTTTTTTTTTTTTTAATTTGAATTTTGTTCTACATTTTTTACCCATTCTAACTGGGACCTTTTATTGCACTCCTGTTTGGAGTGGTCAGTAGTGATAGCTGAGCACCATCTAGTTCTGCTGGTCTCAAGTTAGACGAGGCTGTGGTTTATGTGGGCTGTTAATCCTTTGGACTAACTGCTTCCTTGGGTTTTCATTTTTCTTTGTTCTCCTCTGGACCAAGCAGGAAGAGACCAATAGCTGCTTCTTAGATGTCTGCTCACAAGCTTTTAAGACCCAAAACGCTACTCACCAGCCTAGGCTGTAGAACATGATCTTCATGAACTATGTTTTGCCAACTGACTTAGATGTCCCCGGAGACTATGGTCCTTAGTGGACTTTTCTTAATAATACAATACACCTGCAAATCAATGCAACTTTCTCTTCTATAATGTAAGTACTCCCCAGAGAAGAGGTTTTTCAATTTCTTTGAAATTGCCTCTATTTTAATAAAATGTTGGTCTTACCAGAGAACAAAGTCTCTTAACTGGGCATCCAACAGAATCACCTACAGAATGTAAAAAACAAACAAAAACAAACCTCACCTGCCCCCACAAAATTGATACATGGTAAGTCCTACCTTATACTAAATAGAATCCTTCAGGTTAGAAATTTTTAACGCTTCATAGATTCTAATGTGTACTCCCAGTTTAAGAAACATGTGGACAGATGAACTGTACTCAGATCTTTCACATGAGATGCATCTATAGTCATCTCACACTAAATCAGTTTTATTTTGGTATAAATCTATTATCTTTGTAACAATTCATTTCTGTTTTTGAGACAAGGCCTCAGTCCAATCTCTGGGAAAGAAAACTATATTTTATGCACAGTAGAGCCAATGTGGAGATTAAGCCCAAACAACATTATTATTTATATTACAAGTTATCTTCTGCAAAATAAAACATCTATCACATAATGTGTTCTTTAAAAGCTTTAACTATAAAAGCAAAGCTAAAAGACCAACATGTTTAGAAAGTGGAAAATTGTTCATGGCTTATGGACTAAAAGGCAGGCCTTACATTTACATTATAAAAAGGCTAGATACAAAAATCTCTTCTAAAAGGAGATGGACATTATCTATTTTCCATGATGTAGGCTGAAACGGAAATCTAACCAGGTGATTCTATTTCCAAAACCTTTCATTCCCACCGCCCTTATCCAGAAGGATCCTAAATTTCCAGTCTGGATCTCTTAAAAGTTCTATAAATACACAAAGCAAGAAACTTTTCTATAGTAATTAGTATTAGACTATTTTCCAATGACAGAAATTGTAAGATATATCCTAATACTATGGAAACTACTGAAAAAAAGAAAATACAGTGGTCAATTGAATATCATTTGCAATGAGACTTTGCCTTTTGTACAAAAATGATACATTCTGACCTCCCTGTGATGGATTCTATCATTACCAGTACCATTCAGAAGTTATCACCATTACAAGATCTTTCAAAGCATATCAATCTTTCCTTGTTACTATGCTGTATAGCTAGATGAAGGTCAGCTATGTGGTTCTGAGACAGTTTCCAGGGCACACTATATTTCTAAAAGGCTATAATTTAGCATTTATTATATCAATATCTTACATTTGTATAGTGCTTTACAGTTCAAAAATATTTTCATACATATTATTACACTTAGTGTTTATCAACCTGGTAAGAAACATAATCATTTCCTTATTTGAGAAACAGAAAAATAAATCATCAAAAGTTAGTAATTTTCCCAAAATGAGAGTTCTTGCTTATGTGAAAACCCTAATTATATTGCATTTTATTTTATACTTCTTATTCATATGGCATTTTACAGCTTACACTTTCCTATTTACTATTTAATTGGATTCCCACAACAATCCTGTCAGGTATTATATTATGGAACAGTATGGAGTAGCTATTAAGAACATGGGTAATAAAAGTGGATTGCTTAGATTTGAATACTATTCCAATATACTATGTTTCTGTTTTCCTTACCTGAAAATTAAAACAGGAAACAGACTCTATGCCACTGAGTTTTAGAAAACTGAAAATAATGCAGCTAACATAATTAGCACAATGACTGGCAGGTTTGTTGTTAGGCACCAGAGTTGGTTCCGATCCACAGTGGCCCTATATATAACAGAATAAAACACTGCCCACTCCTATACCATTCTCATAATCATTGCTACGTTTGAGCCCATTATTGTAGCCACCCATCTAATTGAGAATCTTCCTCTTTTTTACTGACCTTCTACTTCACCAAGCATGATGTCCTTCTCCAAGGACTGATTCCTCCTGATAACATGCCCAAAGTACATGAGATGAAGTCTCCCCATTCTCACATCTAAGGAGCATCCTGGCTGTACTTCTCACAAGACAAATTTGTTCATTTTTCTGGAAGTTTAATCAATACTCTTCACCAACACCATAATTCATATGCATCTATTCTTCTATGGTCTTTCTTATTCATTATGCAGCTTTCACATGCATATGACCAAACCAGAAACCAAACTCACTGCTGTTGCAGCAGATCCTACTCAAAGCAACCCCTCCTTGGGTTTCCAAGGCGCTATCACTACGGAAGTAGACTGCCCAATCTTCCTTCTGAGGAGTGGCTTGTGTGTTTGAACCACCAGCCTTCTGGTTAGCAGTCAAATAAATGCCTTAGGCACTGCACCACCATATGAGGGGACTGAAAATACTAGGACTTGGTTGAGGCATACCTTATTCTTCAAAGTGACATCTTTGGACTGCCATTAATGGTGGAATAAGCAGACAAGCTACACAGACCCTCTTCAACAAACAAATAAGAAACCAATGGACAGAGATACAGATGACAATCCTGGAGCCCTGAGTTTTGAAAAGAAGTATACAGAAGTGCCTTAGGCACCAACTAGTGGAAGAACCTGAAAGGAAACAGTGAGTACAGAGACAGGCAGAGCTGCGGATTGTCAGCTACTCTGACGGCATCAACAGCCTGAATATTTCCAAGTGGTTTTGGGACCTGAGAATTGACCTAAAGATCAGCCATGGTCACCAAGGGTGCAGGGACAACTGCGCTGGTGGCCTGTGACTAGGAAGGGAAACAGCAAGGAGGGAGACAACCTCAGCTGTGCACTTTTGACTGTCTGGAGGACTCAGCCATTTTGACTGTTTATAAGTGGTGGCCATTTTGGATATTTAAAGTGACAGCATTCTCATTTGGATTTCAGGGACCTAAGAATAGGCTCCACTTGCCAAGGATGGCAGGGACATACAGCAGGCTGACAACAGCAAAGGAGACAGGTGGTGAGCACATAAGTACTAGCAACTAGCAAATAGAGGACCACAGTACCCTGCTTATGTAGACAACATACAAACAAAATGAAAATCTTGGGCAAATCACTGCAACATACAATCACCAATTAAATATAAACACAAAAACATCACAGTGCCTCAGAGACAATAGAGCATCACAGTCCACACAAAGAAGCAAGATAAAGCAGGAGAAACAAGGGACATGGACACAGACTCAGAACACATCTCTGAGGAAGAAGCAGCATTGGAACTCCCTGACAAGGAAATCAAAAAGAATTATATTTAGGTACCTTCAACGAATTGAGAGAAAGACCAAGGAA